TCAATTAACTTTATAATTTTGATTAATTTTTGATAAGCCTCTTCTAGGGTATCCAAGATTTCATGATGTAATAACCTAAAAAGTGTGATATGATTTAATTAAAAAATGTGATTTAATGTGATCTTAATGCTGACTAAAATTAACATAATTTTAACTAAAATTAATATTCATTATGCTAAGCAAACAAATTATATTTATTTTATTTATTGAAACAATACATTTAAACTATAATTAACAAATTATAATTAATATTACTACCCAAATTAAAGTAAAGAAAATTAAGCATCTGAATGCTTTTTTCTTTAAGTGCAACCCTTCTATCTAATAAAATATTTTTATAACTAGAAAAACTATGTTCAACATTTACTTTAGATACTAGTAACTAAATATATACTAAAGCTAATACATTAAGTTCTAATAATAAATGTGTTTTGTTTCACCAATATATATCTAGATCTACTAATTCCTCAGCTATTTTATTAAGCTCGCAATAAATAGCCTATTCTTGTATTAAAGTGTCAGTAGGAGAATAAAATTCTTTAATAATCCTATAATCTGCAATATTATGATTAACTATATTAAATTGAATAAATCTTAGATCAAAGCATTGTATTGCTTTGAACAATGATAAAGCTAGATGATAAGGTATGTGTTTTTTGCACTTCTCATAAGCTGATGCAAAAGCTTTAGAAAATAATAAAACAAATAGATCCTTATCATAATTTATTCTTTTCAAAATTTGTTTTATTTCATTTGAAATTGGAGGATTTCTTTTTTCTAACAAAAGAAAAGCTTGAAGATTTACTATTTGTGAATAAATAAATGAAACTATTGCTTTATTTCGTATTTTAAAGAATTTTAAATCATTAACTAACCTAAATAAAATTTAATTAACAGTTAGTATTATTTAATAAATTTATATATTTAATAAATTATAATAATTAAATTTTTTCTTACCAGATGCAATTATATGTGATAAAATATATAAAAATTCTAATACATAAAATATTGTTTTAGTTTTAACAAAAAGAATGAAGATCTTAAATAACTTTTGAATCATGATTGATAGAATATTTCACATTAATAAATGTAATTAAATGAGAATATAAAGGTTTAATCTAATACAAAAATGAAAATCATGAATTTCACTATGTTTTTATTAGTAATGATACTAAAGTAGGATTTTCAATATTGTTTCACAATAAATGCTCTTTCCAATGAATTTTTCTTTTTGAGTTATAAATAGTGCTTCAAAATCAGTTTTCAGTCTTCAATTTTAGTCTATTTATTTAGTAACCAGTTTTAAAAAAAAATTTTAAAGATCTGATAACCAGTTTTTTAATATAAAATCAGTTTAAACTCAAATTAGTTTATGATTTCAAACTAGTTTATATATAAAATTAGTTTAAAAATTTAAATTAAAATTTAAAATATTTATTTAAAATAGAAAAATATATTTAAATTAATTTTATATTAAAATTTGTGAATCGTAATACAATGTAATTTATCAATATACCATCTTATTCTTTGTTCAATTTTTATTTCAAAAAATAGATGAAACTAATAATAAATATAGACGAGAAAACTCAAGTATTATTTAAGACGACTATTTTGAGAAGTATGATGAAGAGGAAAAACAATTATATCTTGTTTGTCAGGTGTGCAAAAATAAAAGTATTATAAAACGTTATAAGTAGATAAAAGGTTCTTCAACTACTACTGCTCAAGGATATCTTTAGCGGGATTATAGAATTGATAAAAATTGTCCAGAAGAGCTAGTAAATACAGATGGTAATATTAGAACAGTAATAAAATATATTATTATAAAGCGTCAATTATCTTTGAAACAGTCTTTTATAACTTTTATTATTGTTGATTATCAACCATTAAATATCCTCCAAAATAATGCATTTCAAAATATGCTTCATGAATTTGAATTAGGATTTAGAATACCAACTGAAGAAAAATGCAAAGAAATGATACGCAATAGTTATAATTGGACAAAAGAAAATCTTAAGGAGTTATTAAAATCTAATGCAAATAGCATTAATATTACAACAGATCTTTGGACTTGTCATCGAAATAATGGCTATATTGGTGTAACAATTTCATGGTTAGACCAGAAAATGAAATTACACGAAGCATTGATTAGTATAGAATTATTACCTAATCCACATACATCTGAAAATATTAAAAATTGTTTAAATACTATTCTTGAAAATTGGAATTTAAAAGATAAGTGTTTTGCAGCTACAACAGACAATGGCCCAAATATTAAAAATGCAATTTCTTTAATGAATAATGTTGAAAATATAGGCTGTGCTGCACATACATTATATCTTACTATTACAAAAAGTTTAGCATTAATAAAGCAATTTATTAAAAGAATTAATAATCTTATTTTTTTTTTGTTTTGAGTTTAAAACAAATTAAACGATTAAAAAAAGTATAAGAAAATCGAGAATATCCAAAAATACTTGAAATAATTCAAGTTGTACATACATAATGAAATAGTTCATATCTTGCATAAGTAAGATTATTAGAATTACAGGTTGCTATAAAATGGTTAGAAAATACATTACATTTAGCTTACTCAAAAGATGATAAAGATGATGGTGATTATTTAAAATTAATATTACTTACAGAATCAGAGTGAATGTATGTATTAATAATTATTTGTTAAATAAATGTTAATTAAAACTTATTTTAACAAAATAATTTTTAATTTTTTAAGTTTATTACAAGATTTAATAAATCTTTTAAAACCATTTTTAGATGCTACGAAACTTTTATCTGATTCAAATACTTTACCCTAAATTTTGTGTATCTAATGATGTATTATTTAATAAGCGAATTTACTCTTAAAAATGAAGAATCTGAGGATGACTTATTTGATTTAATTTACAGTCCTATACAAGCTAATAAAATTGAATATGAAGATAATAAAGGTAATTGCAAAATATTAAATTTTATTATTTATAATTTTAATTGTATTATAAATATTAATTTTTAAAATTTATTTATTATAATTAAGATACTAATACAAATGAAATTAATAATGAAGGAAATGAAACAGATTCAGATTATGAATTATTACGAAACTCTATAATTGAACCAAAACTTATCAGAATTCTATTAAGAGGTATAAGAGAAAGAGAGAGAGGATAAAGAAGAGGATATGGAAGAATAAGAATTAGTAATATAGATAGTGAATGAAAAATAAATGCAGATTCTAGATTTCAAAATCGACGATTTATTAAGAATTCAATTATTACCACTGGCCTTTTAAAAAAGGTGCTAGCTTCTATTTACTTATATATGAAAGAATATTGGCAAGTTCCTAAACTAGTAGGAATGATAGCAGCAATTATGGATTCTCAATTAAAAAGTCTTAAATTTATTGATGACAATACTATCAAATTTCAAACAATAGAAAAATTACGTAACCTTTACTTTGATAAGCAATTAGTAAATGAATTTGATTCTTTAGATCTTATTAGTAATACTAATATTAGGCAAAACACAACTACATCTTTATCATCAAATTCTATTATTACTGCACTTTTTGACAATGATATTAATGATGATAATGTTGAGGTTAATGAATTTGATGCATACTTAAATTTACAAATATCAAAAAAATGTGATCCCCTTAATTGATGGAAGGAAAATTCAAAAAAATTTCTTTTATTGAGTCAAATTGCACGCAAATACTTGTCAATACCCCACCACTTTAGTACCTAATAAAAGATTTTTCTCAGATACTGAATTGCATATTATAGCATGTCACAACTGTTTAAATCCAGAATTAGTTGAGCAGCTTTTATTTTTAAAATGAAATATAGCTTTATTTCTGATTTTTTCACCAGCTGAATAATTAATATTATATACAAATTCAAAGGTGATTTGTATAAATTTTATGTGAAAAATTTTCACATTAATTCAATAAAGTTATACTATACACAAAAAGATAATACAAATAATATTTTTACTTCAATTTTTCAAAATTTATTACTTTTTATTTATATATAATGGTATAATGTATAAATAATATATATAAATGCATATACATTAAGTCATTAAAAATAACTAAAGATAGGTTTGCAATTGATTCTAAATCTGTAATATTGCAGATTTTGAAGTTGAATTGTGTATAGTAATCTGCATTCCTAATGAAAAAAATTATAAAAAAAAAATGTTAATATATATTCTTAAAATGAAACCAACCAACCGCCAAAAAAAATTAACAATATTCCTTTTAGATCTTATTTTTGATCAGTTCTAACTTAAGGCATCAAAGATCTGAAAAGTTTTTACAAAGATAAGTTAAAACTAATATTAATAGTTTTTTTATTAAAAAATTAAAATATTTATCATTAGAACTTACTTCAAATCTGATTACAACTCAAGCTTTTAAAGATTCTGATTATTCTATAAAAGTAAGTAATAAATGTTAGTTTTTTTTATTAAAAAAAAAACTAAAATTATTCCATTAGAATTTACCTTCACAATCTAAAATTCCATTGTTTACATACAGATTTCAGATTGGTCTACAAAGGTTAATATTAATTTTTTTTTAAAAAAAATTTAAAAAATAATTCTAACAAAATTTTTTATTAGAACTTACTTTTAATCAATTACAACTCGAGCTTTCAAGAATTCTGATAGTTCTACAAAAATAAATAGGAAATATTAGTTTTTTATTAAAAAAAAAAAATAATAAATTATTCTATTAGAATTTAGCTTTAATCTAAGATTCCATTATTTATAGATTCTGGATTAAACCTACAAAAGTAAATTAAAATTTAATTTTATTTTTAAAATTAATGATAAATTTCTTCAATTAGACTTACTTTCAATTCAAAATTCAAGGATTCAATCATTCTACAAAGGTAAATTGATGTTAGATTTTTTAAAATTTAAAAAAAAAATTAACAAATTTTTTTATTAGAGCATACCTATGATAAGATTTTAGGAATGATAAATGATATGATTGATGTCTATCTCTCTTTCTTATCTATAATGTGGTTTTGAGTTTCAGCAACAGCATCATACATCACACCTGATTCCTCAAATTCAGATTTTTTGAATCTGGATTTCTAAAGCAAAAAAAATTTAACCAATATCTTCTGAATCATTTTCATTTTCTGTATATCTGAATCTAAGGAGAAATCATCATTGAAAGTAATATTCTAAACTGTACACTGAAATGTAAGAAGGTGGACTATACATTAAAAAATATGATGGAAAAATATAACCTTATCCTCTGATATACATGACCGTTCTATGCCAGCTTTTTCAACCTGATCTCTTTCTACTGTTATAATTTTCTGAGTCACTCCTATAAAATTTTCAGCAATTTATTGAAGAAATTTTAAACTTCTCCTAGACCTAAACGGATTCTGGTAAGTATCTGTGATTTTTTTTTAAAATAAAAAATAAAAAAATATTAACTAACAATTTAAACAATTAGGCTTACCTTCAATACTTTCTTTATTATTTTCAACATAAAATTCTCCAGTCATATTTTTTCAGAAGCAGTAAAGACTGGCTTTTCTCCAATTACAAAATTCACTACATTAAGAATGCGACGAAAATTTAAAATGCCAACTAATGGTATTTTAAATGTTTAAAGTTTAACCTGATTTGGATTTAAATTAGTGATACATTTGTAGCAATATTAATTTTTTGCGTTCTAAAAAATAAAAAATTTTTTTTAAAAAATAAGTTCTGATTTGCAATTTCCATGATATCAGTATTTAATTAAAATCTACATAATTTTATTTTTATAATGCATAACATCTATAGTCATCAACTAGTCTGAAATTTTAATTGTCAGTTAAGTCATGTGAAATGATTTTTATTGGTCAAAAATCAAAATTTTTTTACATAAAAAACACGAAAAACGCAAAAAAATTATTTAATTTTATTTAATTCCTCCAAAATTCTGTCTGGAATTCTTCTATGAGATTTATACTTCTTGATGGCATATTCTGCCAATTTACCACTAATACCTTTTCTATAAGCATCCATATAATGTTAATACTTTCTTGCAAATTTTTTAATAATAACTAAATGTACTAAATCAAGGCTTTTAAGTATCATCTGTTGTAATCCATTTCATGAATAATCACAATTTTCTCTTGCATATCTTTTAGAAGCTTCCAATATTTTTCAATAAATTTTAATTCACAATGAAACTTAAGGTAAAAGATACATTCATGTCCAGCCTTTTTAATTAACTCTTCAATTGCTCCCCTTTGTGCAAGAAAATCAGGCTCTAAAGATAATACCCGGTGAGCAAAATAAGAAATTCTAGATTCATCTTGAATTTTTTCTTTACAAACTTTACATTCTAATATTAATCCTTCAGGTGGTCATTTTCCTCGCTCTAATAGTACCTGTTTAATTCCCTTTGGCTGACCTCAGAGCTTTTCATCAGGATGTGTAGCTGGAAATACCTTTGATTGTGATTATCGATCTTGTCCAAAATAGGTATCACACATAATTAGTTGTTTACTACCGGGTTTTAAATTCATCTAATTTGTAACTAAAGCATCCTTTCTAAATATACTATAGTTTGAACTATTATCAAAGGCAAATACTACAATACAATTTGGATACAAAGTTTCAAAAATAGGAATTGCTTTGTGTTCAATTTATTCAAGAAGGTATTCAGCTGTCCAATAACCCTCTTGATTTTTATCAGATTTTAAGTAACATTATACTTCTTTAGGTATATTTAGATGTTTCATTACATCATCTGGTTGTAAACATAAACGTTCATCAACTTCTATAAGAAATTCATTAACCATTATAGATCTTCCATTTCCTTTCTTTCATAGTGGTAATTCTCTATTCTTAGTCTATACTCCGCATTTACCATCATTAGAATAAAAAATACATTCATCATGAGTTACAAAAATTCGTTCTTTTTCTCCTTCAGGCAAATTAGGATATATATGATCCATTACTTCTCCTTCATATTTTGACATATATTTTTCATGTTTAAACATTTCTTCAAGAAATTTTTTACAATATTGTATAACATTATCCCGTTTATGTCCATTATAATATATATCTTGACAGTATTGTTAAAATGAATAACCAAAAATATTAAGCCATCTTGTTGCTGTCATTAAAGTGATAGATTTTTTCACAACATTAGTGCTGGGTAATAATTATTGCTCAACAAATTCTTTAAAAGAAGCTGATGTAATTTTATAATTTTGTTCACAAATCCAAATTTGACATTTTTCAGCTATATCTTCATCATCAATTATTCTAACAGATTTTTGATGTTTCCCTTATTTAGATATCAGAAGTTTGTTATAACTCAACCAATATTTTGTAAAATATTGAATACATCGTGCTTTTCATGGACCACCATCAACAAAAACTATTTTGATCACCTCTAAACTAACATGCATCTTCCTACTATCTAAACGAGTAAGATATTCAAAAATAGCACTTTTTGAATTGTATTTGATAACTGACATTTTGTTATACTGCTTTTCTAATTGTTCTTTTAATGATCGGATTCTTTCATCAATTTGGTAAGTACAGCACTTTACTTCATCATCTGAATCATTTAAAGTCTGATCAATATTTGGATTATTGGAATCAGATTCTATATCTTGAATATTACTAATCTTGAAAAAATTTGTAATTTTTTCAGTATCAGCAGCCACCTTAGTAAATGAACCATTTAGTCCATATTTATCATAATAGATTGATTTTAAGATCTTTCCTTTTAAATATTGTTCACGCTTCATTTTTTCAAATTGATTATTTTTTTTTAAGTTAGCTTAGACTCCATTAACTCTGTATATTCTTCGTCTGAAATGTCTGAAACGTTATCTTCTTCATCATCCCACTCTTCATAAAGAAATTCGTATATATCACTCTCATCATCATATGATACATTTTTGTGAAATGCGCCATTTTGCTCAGGCTTAGAATCTAAAATTTCTTGGTATCGTGATCTCTTAATATCATATTTACCATCTTTTGTATATAGTTGGTCCTTTGACTTTTATTTTTGTTTAAAAGAGGAGGCATTTTTTTAAACTTAAATGCAACATTAGATAAAATTAAACACATTTAAAATAATGTTAAGGATTTATCATAATGTCACGTGAGATGAATTGTGCATTTTTATTGGTTAAAAACCCTGTAAATACCCCTGTAAAATTAGTCCAAAATCATGCTATTACTAATAAAGTATCTTACTTTCAAATTCTGATAACTTTTTAAATTATAAGTTAAATAAAAAATATAAGCTGATTTTCTGAAAGATTGCAACTTCATTTATATAAAAATCAGTTATTTTTTTAATAACATACAAATTGAAAGACTACATATACTTTGAATTTATGCTAAATTCTTGATGACTATAGATGTTATGCACTATATAAAGAACATTATGGAGACCAGTTTTTTTTGATAAATTAGTTTTTGTATGAAACTGGATTATTACAATCTGGTTTGCCAAAGAAAATAATTTACAACCAAATTGCAAAAAGTCAACTGGTTTAAAACTGGTTTTTAATCACGTAACTGGCTTAGAGCACTATATATAGCTAGGATAACAAATCTCTGAAACATCAAAAATGTATATTATTGTCTCTAATTATCTAAATCAGACGAAATTTAAGTTGAATTTTAGTCAATTTTTCTGATTTTTTTTTTACTTTTTATAATAGAAATATGCCTTTAACCATCAAAATCGAACAAAATTTAAGTTGAATTTTAGTCAATTTTTCTGATTTTTTTTTGCTTTTTATAATAGAAACATGCCTTTAACCATTAAATCAGATGAAAATTAAGTTGAATTTTAGTCAATTTTTCTGATTTTTACTTTTTATAATAAAAACATACCTTTAACTATCAAAATTAGATGAATCTTAAGTTGATTTTTTCTGATTTTTTTACTTTTTATAATAGAAACATGCTTTCAACCATCAAAATTAGACGAAATTTAAGTCAAACTTTGTGATTTTTCTGATTTTTTATTCTTTTTTTTCAAAAATGCCAATATTACTATAATGAATATTTAGGACGATTCATTTTTCATTTTACATGGCCAGCTGGCTTTCTTCATATCATTCAAAAATATAATAAAGATCTTTAAATTTTTAAACTAATTTGCACGTTTAGTGTATATAATCATAAATATAAATTTTAAGTCTTAAGTGCTACAGCAATAAAAATTTTTATTGATAAAAATAAATGCAGTGATACGACCTATTCATGCAAATGCAAAGTAAAACTTATCTACAGTATCTGACCTCTTAACAGAGAAAGCTTTCTTTTTTTTTGATGAAGTAGATAGACATTCTTCAGCTTATATCAGTCAATTAGCTTGTAAAATAGCCAAGTTGTTGAAGCAAATAATAAAATGACTTACGTTGCCTCTTCTTCGAGTGCATTCTACCAGTTTTCCACCAGTACTTGCGATATCTTTTCAGTTCGCCGGTCTCAAAGACATCGAAAATGGATGTAAAAGAGGTGGGTACTTTGACTAGTTGACATATTTCTCAGAATAGCAAAATCGTCGTTTCCGTATAAAGTTGTCTAAAAATCTTTGATCAACAAAAATTTTGTCATGTGAGATCGATCACCTGAAATGCGCCGGAAAAATTCTTGCATGGTGCTGTGCGACGTGTGGATCACATATATTCACATTTTTTCTAAGTGGGGCGTTTTTTTAACTTTATACTACTAAATTACCCACGAAGAGAAGAAAAGCAACAATCAGGAGGGTCGCGCGCTTATTATTTTTTGGGGGAGGCATTATCCCGGCGCCTTGACCATAAAAAAGTAAATGAGGAGCACGAGGCCCAAATAATGGTCAATGAAGAAGTCAGGGAACAGCTTCCAAAGGAAGTGACAGATTGCGCTTCGGGAGAAAGCAGAAAGGGCTCGGAAAATTTATGATCTTTCCGCCGTATCGGATCTGATAAGATACGAGTAAGAGAAGTATGTCGTTTAAGGCACTTTGCACAGCATATCACGTAATCTCATTGTCTCCCTTTTTTTACTGATGTATTATTTTGTTTAGCGTCTAGCGACCATCGTCTATTGAAAAGTTTGCTGATGGGGAAATAGATCATCCAAGAAAGAGGTAAAATGTTGTAATACAATGATTTCCGTGATTTGTTCAGTTCATTGTCACGTGAAGTCTTTTTACTTATTTTTTGATTGATTTTATGTCTATTGAAAAGTTTGCTGATGAAAGAGGTAAAAATATTTAAAAATATTGATTTGTTACAGTATATTATCGTATTTATTTGGTAATTGTCACGTGAAAGTTTTTTTTTACTTATTTATTGAATGATTTATGATGTTTACAGAAAAATTTTTGCTCAAACCTTTTTCGCGACCCTTTTCGTTCTCTTTGCTAACAATGGGTAAGTGTAAAATCTTACTATTATGTTGAGTAGTTATTAGTTTATGAGGCATTATCGTCGCTCCTCGTGAGCTTATCGTCGCTCCTCGTGAGCTTATCGTCGCTCCTCGTGAGCTTATCGTCGCTCCT